GCAGCTCTAGTTGGATACCATTCAGTTTAGGCGGTTGGAAACAGACTTCATAATGCAATTGGCCCTGAGTTCAGCCTAATGTATGTAATGTCTATACCCACTGTGTTAAGCTAACTGACATATTCCTTGAAAACAAGGAAATCAAACGGAATGACCTTCATGCTTACTGGATTTATGAGATTTATCAAATCACTCCAGATACTAAAAATGTTTTGAAAACAGTTTTTTCACATAAATGACCTAGGATATTGCAGGAGCTTAACATAACTGCTTTTAAGTATAAACATCAGTGCCAAGCTGCCCTTCCTCACTTTGGTGACCCTACTTCACAATTAAGTGAAATGTTTTGAACTGTAAAGATGTAAAGTCACGTCTACTAAATGATCATCAGATGCCTAACTTATATAAAAAATTAGCTGATATATCATTTTATAACAATTACTCTTCCTTGTTACAGCCATAAAAGTACAAATTCCAAATATCCTTTAATTATTTTCATCACATCATTTTATATATAATCAGTAATTCAACTGAAATTTTTTGTATATGAATATATCTAAAGATATTTGAGTTTATTAAAGTTCATATTTCTAAAACAAAATTCTAAATAAAAAATACACGGAAAGGTTGATCAGATTTGGCAATAAAACTTTCTGATAAAAATAAATGTTTAGCAGCTATTTTACTGTTAAACTGAAAAAAGTTAATTTAATTTGATGTGGCATTACCCTAGTTATTTCATACTTAGGAGTGAGAAGTTTGGCTGATAAATATATCTTACAGAAAATGGTAAACTATAAAGTAATATTTAAGTGTATCAAGATTATTTTCTAAGCTTGCTCTAGGGTGCTTCTAATCTGAATGTCTTCCAACATTTATTTATAAATGCTTTAACTTCATCAATATTAAAAAAACAGCAATTTAAAATAGGGGATTTGCATTAGGGAAATCGAATGTCCAAAATCTTAAAAAAAAAAGGATAGGATTACCAAAGAGCAAAACAAATATTATGTTTAATGTAAAATTGGACAATATCATCCTGACCTAATACTACTAGAAAAAGCCTTGCCATTTATTTGAATTCAAGATGTTCTTTTTTTTTTTTTGTTAAAACTATTGTTTTATTTTTGAGTGAAATTTTCATCTATCAGCTAAATATTTTCATGTCAACATGCACGACTTTTCTACAGTCCTGTTTCACTTTGCTCAAAAATTTAAACATATGCTAGAATCAGTTGTTATACAGGCTGCTAACATGGAACAGAAGAATATGAAATATACCCATAATATGGTAGTGTCTTTCATCCTTATGACATTTGTTTTAGTATAAACTAAATATTGATACAGTTTATAACCTAAATTCTGTGTATAACTTACTTCCTTAAAATATAAATTAATCTTTATTTCAAACCATTTAAACTTTAACTACTTAACGCCATGTCTTCATGCTCTACTAATTTATATTTTCTTGAAATATACCCTTTTGGTCATTTAAAATGTTTTAATCTACATCTATTTAATGATTACTTTTACTACAAGTTTTTGTTACTGTTTTGTTACTTAAGCATAAAGGTTATGAAAAGTGCTTTGTAATAATTTCTAACAATAGGTATTTATTTGGCTGAAGAACTGTCTGGGAATACACTGAGATAAAAGTGAATTATACCATTCAATAGAGCCCAGTTCTTGCAACATTAACACTTTGTTTTCAATTTTATCATTTCAGTTAATACATTACATAATGAGTTATAGTTTAAGCTATAAAGTATGATGAAACATCACAATAAGACTGTTAGTAATTTCACCTGGTAATAGTTTATACCTAATAATCATAAGTATCCTGGAAATGAAATAATAGTGAGCATTTGTCAAATTACTGATCAATTCTGTGAAAAGCTGGTGAAAGTAAATGTTCATCTAAAAATTCTTAACAAAATATTTGAATAGATGAGACATTAAGCCAAGACTTTTGTTAAATATCTTAGCCCTATGTGCACAGATGGGGTCAAAGTGCCATTTAATATGTTATTATGCATTTGATGACAAAATTTTAGCCTACACTGCTGATTTAATGATAGTTCATGGTAGAGTAAATACCATATACAGTATACAGGGATACTAAAAAAAACTGTCCATATGGATTTCAAAGTTTCTAGAGGTTATGCAAATCCAGTATGCTAACTGTACAATGGACAAAAGTATTTTTATTTTGCACATGAGCATCATTTTGCACTCCAACTTGTCAAAGTCAGACTGACTTTGGCAATTCACAGACATTTCACTAAAACTTGCAACATTTTGTGTAGATACACACAGTAAATTCAGAATTATAATCAACATTCTTCTGCAATACGGGGTCAGTCCCTTGGACTAACTCCACCCACAGTTGGTTATTAATAACAATAGAACTTTTGAAATACATGGCATATGAATAGACTTCACTTAAGAACATTTGTCAGTTAAAAGAGGTTACTTGTGAAAACAATGTCTAAAATGCCACAAAACAGAAGAACTAAAACAAGTCATTGACTTCAAAACTAATTAAGAAATTTTATCTTTTCGTAAATTAATAAAAGTTTCAAAGGTTAACTGTGAAAGCTTCAAACCTTCCTGCCATTGTTTATATACTTTTATCAGTTTGACTATGTTAGTTCAGTATATAACTTTACAATATCATTAGCTGTTTTTGTGTTAAGTTGTGATTCTCCATAAATTTACATTTGGTAAAGTCAGTGTAACATGCACACGCAAAAAATTTGCAGATATGCATAAAGGACCACAAAAATGTATTCCAGCGGTTTTCTGGAAAGTGCATTAGAAAACACACTTTACCAACTGCTAAATGTTTCCACCATATGTTTCAATGCTACATTCACCAAGAGAATGGTATTATATATATTGCAGTAAAAAACATCCTTTCCACAAATTGCACGATGACTACATATGATGGCACCAGTAGCTGAGAATTGAATATTTTTATTATAACTTCACACAATAAAAGAAATAATTTGCTGTATGAATTCTTACTAGTTTGTAAACTACTTTGCATTAATATATATACAAACACATATAGTAGATGGTATGCATAAGATAGGCTTGCAAACTAAATCATGTGTACTTATATTTATGTAAAACAAAATTATATCTAAGCCTAATGCACATGAAAAAGTTTATACATGTAATTATAGTAAATATTTTATTATTAAAGTTGTTTTCTTGTTAAACATGAAACTATGTCCCTCAGATTCCACTCAAAGTATTGAGTGTTTAAGCAGTATTACACTATATAAAACTGCTGAAAATTTTTTAACCTTTGCTGAGTATTCCTATGGCTAACCAGCAATTCACACACACATATCTTGTATAAAATCGACATTTAAATAATAGCTCACAACATTTTGTTTAGATACACACAGTAAATTCAAAATTTTTAACCTTTGCTGAGTATTCCAATGGTTAATCAGCATTTTATAATATTTTAAATCTGAGAAAACAAAATCAGTAATTCAAACATTCACAATATTTGTATTAATTCTAAAATAATACATGAAAAACATATCATAAAATAAAAAGATAAATCACTACTAAAGAGAAAACTTGATCTAAGTAATTTCGGAAATGGAGCTAATTCAGAAAATTATTATGATTACATAATAAATGATCCTCAACCATATTTTTTGTTGTCTTTAACCATGTTATTACAACAAAGCTTTAGAACTGATCATTTTTTGAACCTGTTACTATTCCTAATGATTTGTTCTTGTTATTCATTTCATTTTAACTTTATAGATCTAGTGTGCACAAACAAAATCTTTAGCATTTCTGAAACTGGTTCATATTCCTAACACAAATCATTATTAATTTAACATAATTTTAAGAAAACTTTTTAAATGGGTATCTTCCAACATCATGTATTACAAACACTGCAAACCTTCATTACAGTTAATTGTTGCCCTTAAAAGAATCTGAAAGTTTCCTTTTAAGTTCATTATTATTTTACAAAGGAATGACATTTTAACATAAAACAATTTATTTTCCACATACTTTTGAGATTTACCAAGGCAGATACAAAGCCCCAAAAGTAGCAATAATATCAGGGATACCAATACAGGCACAAACCAAAAAATTGTGCCTAGAGGCTGATCAGCTATCATTATGACACTGTTAATTGTAGTTCACTGATGACATGAATGACCTGGAAGGTACTACGTGTCAACATCATTCCTGAAAAAAAAAAATTCACATATAAGTCTTATCCTCCACTAAAATTTTCACATATAATATCGGTTTCAAGCATAAGCATCAGGCGATACTGAGGGGTAGTTACACTTTATAAGAACAGTATTCCTGATCCTGCACTGTCTTTGAAACCGTTACTTCCATTGTTGATCATGCTCATTCTGGTGATCACATGATTGTGCACTATGGACTGACTCTAGAACTGAGCGATTAGTGGAACTTAATAATCAACTAATCATCAGCTCATTAATCGATTACACTCAACTAACTGATTATTCTCATGTTTGACTTGAATAGTTGGAATAATCAAAAACATTAATAATCTGATTTTACTTTTTTGTTGTTGTTGTTCTTTCTTGCTGTAGTTTCTCCTCAAGATTACTGTTTTGTGTTTTATTCATTTAATTATTGTTACATTTAGCATTTGTACTTTAGCAATGTTCAAAGACTTATGTAAATTCATTTTATTTTGCTTTAGATACTAAAGATGGAATCTGATAGAATTCTGAAACGTTTATCTATGTCCTCTTTTTGTTAATAACAACGTTGTATATTATAAGTGTCGTAATCTTATTTATTATCAAACTTCTTTTTTCTTCAAACACATTCATTGCAATATATCTTATTTTTGTGTTGCTATATAAATTATTAATGGATGGAAGGGTAATACTGTTTAAGGTCCTGGAGCTGAGCATATCTTAGTGGTTAATATGGTCAAACAGTGAAGCTGAGTTTATGGTTCTTGGCCCACTGACACAAAAACAAGCTCTCCATTTTAGGGTCATGGGTGCACTATAAGAATGATGATCAAATCCCACTATTTGGTCATTAACAGTAGCCCAAGAGTTGACAGTAAGTGTTATTGACTAGCTGCCTTACCTCTAGTCTATCAGGTCAAAATTAGCAATAACTAAGCATGAGATAGCTCTTTGTGTAGCTTTAAGCAAAAGTTTAATAACTATCTATCTTGTGTATTATTTTCTGTAATGCATCCAACTTGTTTGGTTCCCTTTCATTTTTATATAAGCCCATACAACTTCCAGACATTCATATTGGGACTTTGTGTAGGCTAAGGCTATGAGAGTTCCACTGGCTTCTTTACCATCATGATGTTGTTTAATTTTATCTGTTGTGAATTGGGCATCTGAGTTATTTGGAGACACTGATGAAATGTGGAAAATTTGTAAAGATAAATTTTTATATATTCAAGATAAACATATTCCTTATAGAAAGAAAAGGGTGGTGTCATGATATAGAAGACTGTTTAGTTTTGATATCATTGATTAATTATATATTACTATTGTTTAGTTTTTGTTACAATAAGAGTTAAAAGCAGATGATTGTAGGAATTTTTGTTAATAATTCATTGATCTTTAGACTATCGAACCTCACGTGCAATACATTGGCATCGAGAATATAGAAGGCGGACAGACAATTAAGTGATAAAGATATAAATAAAATTAGATGAGTGGAAACAGCAGATAGATAATAGCAGGAGAAAGTAAAGTTACAAAAGGAAAACTTGGCGGGAAGTTAATTATTGTAGAAGTGATAGGCCTAATGATTGACATAGACCTAAGACAAACAGTAGAAAAGAAGATAAGAAAATTAATTTATTCCGTCAAAGTGTGGTATTAAAGTAATTGAATCAGCCTGAGTGCACTATGGCAAAAGGAACAGAGGATCTTCAGAAAAAAGAAGACCAAACGAATTCAACAAAATACGGTAATTTGTGCCACAACTGTAAGTGAATCACACACAGAATACTAGTGCGACAGTATTAGAGAAGATAGTTCGGCCTGTCAACTGAAATTCTAAAGTAATTGAATAGGCCTAAGTGGACTTTTGACAAGAAGAGGAGAACTATATATAGTGTTTAAGATAAGCCTGTAATCTCTGTGGTGTGATGACTTTGTTGTACATACATTCAACTTGTTTCGAATATTATATACATATCATTTGAAAACAAGTAAAGTGTGTGCTGTCTATTCATTGTTGAATTTATTGCTAACAAGTCACAGACACCTACTGTAGAAGAATCCTAAGCCCACAACAACATAGTATATATTTATACTATTAAGAAATATAAGTAAAAGCTATTTATTTTGACAGTTGGCAAAAAAAAAAGAATATATATTTTAAATTCTGACAGGTGGATGCAAGTCAAAAACCAGGTTAGCTCACAAAGAGTATAAGGGATAAAATTAAAGAAATGTATGACAAAAATTTTAGAAATTTAATTTGATTGGTATGATGGGGGATTTAGAAGATTGTAGAGAAAAAAAATGTTCCAACAGGAAATTAGAACATCAAAAAAGATTGACTGAAAATGTAAAAATTAACAGTAATGAGTTTTTAAAAATAGATTATGGGTAAATAAAATTTTAGGATGTGGATAGGACCTTTGAGGGATGATAAAGGAAGGCTCATACCTGATGATTATGAGATGGCTGTGTTATTATGTTCTTCTTTTTCTTCAGATAGAACAACATGATCAAATTAATTCTGAGCTTGTTAAGAAAAAATATGGATTAAATATTAAATAACAATAAGGCTCCTAGGACAGGTAATATTTCCCCAAGGGTTTTGAAGGAGGTTTAAAGATTGGATATGTGAGCCACTTGCTACTATTTTTTGTAAATCCTTAAATAGTGGGCAGATGCCAGAGGATTGGAAGTTACATAATGTTACTCCTCTTTTCAAGGGAGTGATAAAAAATGTACAAATAATGATAGGCCTATTAGTCTTCTATCAGTTGTGGGAAAAAGTTTTGGAAAATCTGATAAAAGATGCTTTGCAAATTCATTTAATAAAGTTTAGAATTGTATTGGATAGTCAACATGGTTTCACAAAGGGAAAATCTTGCCTCAACAAATCTTTTGGAAAGGTTACTGTTTATATAAATAAGGTAATAGTGTAAATTTAGTGCCTCAGGATTTTCAGAAAGCATTTGACAAGGTGCCACATAAAAGACTTGTAAAAATAAATGATCCCTATAGGTGTAGGGGATAAGTTAGCTAATTGGATAGAAGAGAGGCTGGATGGAAGAAAGTAGAGGGTTGTTATAAATGGAGTTCAGTCAAACTGGATTAATGTCAAGCGGGGTACCTCAAGGCACAGTCTTAGGATCTATGCTCTTTTTTGATTTACATCAATGACACATATGAAGGAATGGTCAATAAGTTATTTACATTTGCTAATGATATTAAAGTCTTGGGTGTTACTGGCTGTGAGGAGGGTGTTGATTTACAGAAGGGCTTGCATCATTCAGTGAGTTGGGCAAATAAATGGGTTTTAATTATAAAAAATGCAAGATAATGCATGTGGTTATCATAATTTGAATTATAAGTATAATTTGGATGGGAATAACCTTAAAAGTGTTATGCAAGAAAGGGATCTTTATATAATGGTTGATCAGTCTCTTAAGCCATCCAAGCAGTGTACTGTTGCTAGCAATAGTGAAAATAGGATTTTAGGTTGTATGTACAGAAATATTGAATACAAGTCTAAAGAGGTTATAATTTCATCGTATAGGTCACTCATTAGGTTATATTTGGAGTATTCAGTCTTGGGCTTCTTACCTTAGGAGGGATATAGTACTATTGGAAAGGGTTCAGAGGAGGGCTACTAGAATAGTGTCTGGGATGGAGGGGTTGTCATACAAGAAGAGATTAAGATTTCTGAAATTGTTTCCTTTTAAAAAAAGAAGAGTTAGAGGGGATGTGATTAAGATTGTTAAGGGAATTTATAGTGTTGATGCATCATCTTTTTTCATACTTAATGGTGAAAAGAGTACAACTAGGGGATACAAACATAAATTTTGGCAAGGTAGGAGTCATGTTCAGCTAAGACAGTTTTATTTTTCTAACAGAGTGGTTGGCCTTTGGAACAGGTTGCTTTTGAATTGTGGAAGCAGTAAATTTAAGTGAGTATAAGAAAAAGCTTGATGACTATATGAATGATGAGGGTTGACTTTGAGGTGTTTTTTTTTTATTTAATAGTTTTAGTTTAGTTTAGAGACTGGGACAGCCTAGGTGGACCAATAAGTCCCTAAATATTATGATATATTATTATATTTTCTGTATGTAGATGCCGAGACCACTAGGGGCACTAAAATCATAGACAAATAAACAGATGATTAGCTTCAGTTACCAGTGTAAAGGAGGAGGGGGATAAGACACAGGATCAGGTTCAGGAGGAGGTTGAGATAAATAGGAATACAATGAGTAAAGGGAGGTGTGTAAACATGCAGACTCAACCCTAGTCTCCAACGGGTCAGGAAGACCCCCAAAGACATCTTGCCTTAAAAAGTCCTGTAAGGAAGTTGAGGATAAATACATATGGGACAAAAGAGGACCACAACCAAAATATCCCAACAACAGAGGAGCCATGTTTGTAGGGAAAGAATATAAGAGGACAAGTCTGCAAGTGTGGTTCAAAGCAGGGCACAAGTCTCCACTGAAAACCCCTCAAGGGAATGATGTAGAGTCTCAGACAGAAGGTGAATCAAAGAAAGTGAGGATAATGTGAGGTAGGTATGAGAAAATTGAGGTTGGAAAAACGTAACATACCTGGTTTATGAACTCCAGGAAAGGAAAAGCCTGGTTCTTCCACTGATGCTAAATGTGACTGAGTGACAAAAGAAGGGGAAGGAATCTGGCTGTCAAAAACTTCATCCTTTTGTTTAGGTACCCTTTAACAAGAGATATGAGAGAATAAACCTCAGGCAAATCAGGAGCCCACATGAAGTAGCCAACTTCTGATGAACCAAGGCCGTAACATCTACCACTGACAGCTGTGGACCTGAAGCCACTGAAGTTAGGTTAACTGTAGTAGGAACAGCAGTGGTAGTAGTTTTAACTCAGACTAGAAGTAGAAAAGACCAAACAGGGAGCTCCAAAGAATCACATATTAGCATAAAAGACACTAACTAAGATTTCAGATCACAAGTGTGGTAAATGTGAAGAAAAACTAGGTTCCCCCTA